ATAATTATATGCAAGTAACCCTAAGCCAAACCCTAATCCTAACCCTAACCATATAGTAATGAATTAATTTATGTGTGCGTGCTTGCGTGCGTTTGTGTGTGCGTGTGTGTGTGCGTGTGTGTGTTTGTGTGCGTGTGTGTGTTTGTGTGCGTGTGTGTGCGTGTTTGTGTGCGTGTGTGTGTGCGTTTGTGTGCGTGTGCGTGCGTGTCTCACCGTGAAGAGCGTGTTTGTACACGAGTCTGCTGAGATGCTCTGTCACGGGGAAGTTCAGCCCACTGTCCGGCTCCAGAAGCAGCACACCGTGATCAGACACCTGAACACACACACACAAACCTCACTGACTGCTGTTGCTGCTGCATCTTGGTCATTTTACAAACATCACACTTCATTTCATATTTAATGGTAAAGAAATTATAGTATTCTATTAGTATATTAGTAGTATATAGTATTTAAAGTATTTTTTCCCAAAACAACAGAATAATATTTTAGAAGAATCCTTACTTTACTTTACTTCTACTTACAGCAACTGAAATGCATTGAACTTTTTGGATATACAAATATATAAATATTTTATTTTAATATTTCTTTATAGTTAATTAATATGTATTATTTATAAAATGTGTGTGTGTGTGTGTGTGTGTATATACACACATATACACTGATATTTTATGGATTTAAATATTTTATGTTTTATAGATACAAATTACAATATAATGTTAAATGTCTTTTAAATGTTTCAAACAGTAACTAAAATGCATTTACTTTTTTCTATACAAAAAATTATATTTTGTTTAATATTTATTTATTTAAAAATATATATTTATATAAGCTAGATAGATATTTTTACTTACCTGATAGGTATATACTAGTTCTATTTAATATTTACATATTTTATATTTTATAATATTTATACATTCAACAACTAAATGCATTTATCTTTTTTCTATACAAAATATATAATATGTTTATATTAAAAAATATATATATTTTCTATTACAGAAATGTTTTATGTAATATTTATATTTTTAAACATATAGATAGATAGATAGATAGATAGATGTAGACCATAGATATGTATATATATCTATGGTGTAGACAGCATCACTGATTATGAGTTCTATAGTATTTTGTCGTGCCGCGCCGCTTGCGTCCGGTGTAGACACGGTGTTGGTTTGGCTTTGTTTCACAGAACTAATCGTTGCCTGGGTTGCGTACGTATGTGTGGGGCGGAGCTATCAAAATAGGGGCGAGACCCTTTTGGGGTAGGGGCGTGTTTGTTTTGGTGATTTCAAATGTCAACATTGGCTACCAGAAATCGCTTACCCCACCTTTAAGACATTTTGTACAACTGTCAATTTTATAGTGATTTCTACTAGCACACATGCTAAAACTCAAACATAAAGTGGATTTCTAGAATAAAAGTCCTTCATTTACAGCTCACAGGCCGCATCTATCATATTCAGCTATTTCATAACTTGAAAACTCACTTTCACTTTGGGTCTGGCCACGATATACAACAGCATGAATCCAGAAACAACCACACCTCCCACAATGCCATACTGCACCTCCCAGAAACTGACCACAAACGTCACCAAGAATGGCAGCAGATCGAGTCCTGAGGTAAACAATGAGATTTTAAAGCATACAAAATATTTCTATAGTCAAAATATGTGCTGTAAAGTCTCACTCTTGACTCTCCAGAGCTGGACTGGCACTCTGAAGTCTATCATGGGACTGACGGCGCAGATGATGACGGCAGCGAGTGACGCTTTAGGGATGTAAAAGAAGAGCGGCATGAGGAACGCCAGCGACAGCAGCACTATCACACCTGCCCAAAAACACACACCTTCAGACGCTGTCCACATTTTAAATGTCAACCTGATCGCAAAGAGTGTGTGTCACCTGTGACGATCCCTCCAGCGGGTGAACACACTCCGGTTTGAGAGTTCACAGCGGTTCTGTCAGAAAACACCACATCAAAACACTTACTTGGCGAAGAGCAAACCAACAGACACTTTAGCATTAGCGTTTAGCTTGCAGACGGACCTTCCGAAGCTGCCCGTGACGGGATACGCCGACACAAACGAGCCCATGATGTTCGTGAGACCTGCAAAAACAACATTATAATGAGTAACGACCGATTTACGCTCTGATAAAACATCGTGAAGGAAGAGAATCTCTCACCGATGGCAAAGAGCTCTTGGTTAGCATCGATTCGGTAGTTATTCTTGCTGGCTGCATGGAGAAAAAAAGTGTTAAATGTGTCTAAACAGCATCTGTGTTGGTATATACAGAAGTAAGGACACTTTGAAGCTCTTACCGAAAGCCTTCGCAATAGCGATACTCTCTAAGACGCCCATTAAAGGAATAACAGCCAGACCGCCGCCTAAATCCTGAGAAAATACACGCAATTTTAAAATATTTACTATTTTTATCATATATATTATTATTAAATATTTTATTATTCTATTAATAGAATAATGACACTAATTTCATTAAGAAATAAAAACAAAAGTATTTTTTTTATTTTAAAGGTTTATACATCTGACATTATTAGTGCATAGAAAAAAAAGTAAGTATTTTCGAAAATATATTTAATTGTTTTTGGCATTAGTGCAGTGATGAAACAGCTTTTTAAAAAATAAATAAAAATAGCTTACATTTATATTTATAGAAACAACATTTTATCTTTATAATACAATATAATGATTTTTATAATTTAAGTTTTTCCTACACAATATAAATGTGTTTATATATACAGAAAATATATAGCTGTCTTTATATTTAGATAATTTTACCTCAATTTTATTTTTTTAATTACACTTAATTTCACATTTAATAGTGAAAGAAGAATACATTTTTGGGTACTATTTTCCAAACAATAGAATAATAATGATTATTCTAATCCATTTACAATTTATTTTTATTATTTTATCTATTTTAATGTATTTAATTTTATTTCCATACATTTTCTATACAGTATACACATAAACATTATTTTAGGTTTTATTTATATTTAATTAATATTTAAATATCTTTCATATTTAAATTTTACATTTTATATATATATATATATATATATATATATATATATATATACACACTATCTCATTATATATGTTTT